GCCCAGGCGGGTCTCAAACCAGCGGGCTCAGGCAATCCACTCACCTCAGCCTCCCAAAGGTGCAGGATTACAGGCTGAGCCACCAAGCCCGGCTAAAAAACTTATCATTTACATTCAAGGTATTTCTATAAGGGCTACATACATTTTATTATAGAATACCTGTCTTCTTGGTACCTCCTTGTGTGGAATAGGGTATGGGCAGCAATCACGAAAAGTTGATTTAATAAAAAAAAGCCAGGTGTAGTGGCTCATGCCTGTAATCTCACCACTTTGGGAGGTGGAGGTGAGAGAATTGCCTGAGCCCAGGAGTTCCAGACCAGCCTGGGCAACTTGGTGAGACCTCATCTCTACAATAAATAAATTAGCCCAGCATGGTGGACCACCATGCTCCTGTGGTTCCAGTTACTTGGAAGGCTGAGACGGAAGGATCGTCTGATCCCAGTAGGTTTTGCTGTGGTGGCTATGAGTGTGACACTGAATTCCAACTGGGTGACAGTGAGATGCTAACACACACACACAAATAGGCCAGGCACGGTGGCTCAGCCTGTAACTTCAGCACTTTTAGAGGCTGAGGCAAGAGGATTGCCTGAGCCTGGAGGTTTGAGACCAGCCTAAGCAATTTGGCAAGACAAAAATTAACCGGGTGTGGTAGCATGTGCCTGTAGTTCTGGCTACTTGGAAGGCTGAGGCAGAAGGATAAGCCAGAGCCCAGCAGGTCGACGCTGGGGTGGCCATGAGTGTTCCACTGCACTCCAGCCTGTATGACAGAGTGAGATTCCAACTCAAAAAAACCGTATCACAAAACAGAGGTACAGTAGAGCTAGTGAACTACAACACACAAGAGTACATGGGGACTTGATTAGAAAAGATCATACTGGTAAGTGAAGAATCAATACTGTAGTAATCAATAAATGGGTATCAGGAAATGCAACTTTAGTCCGTTTTATAACCACTTAGCTATGTAACAACCCTTCTGGACCTTGGCTTCCTTGTCTCTAAAATAAGGGTTAATTTGTGATTATACAGCTGCGATCTTTCCTTATACATCTGAATTTCAAAACTGTGGTTTATAATTGGGCATGATGGCTCACGCCTGTAATCCCAGCACTTTGGGAGGCAGAAGCGAGAGGATTGTCTGAGTTCATGGGATAGACTAGCCTGGGCAACTTGACGAGATCTCATCTCTACAATAAATGAAGAAAAATTAGCCAGAAGTGGTGGCAAACGCCTGTAGTTTCAGCTACTTGAAGGCTGAGGCAGAAGAATCACCTGATTCCAGCAAGGAAAGGCTGTGGTAGCCGTCAGTGTGCCACTGCACTCCAGCCTGGGCAACAGAGTGAGAGTTCAATTCAAAAAAAGAAAAAAACTGGTTTATTGCAGCACTATTCACAATAGCAAAATCAGGGAACTGTACTGCCCATCGAAACTGAACCGGATAAAGAAAATGTGGTACATACACTTGATGGAATATTACACTGCCATAAAGGACAAATTACAGATTTCGCAGCAACTTATTTGGAGTCTATTATATTCAATGATCTATCACAGAAACAAAGAACTGAGTATCGTATGTTCTCACTCATAAGTGGACCCTGAATACCTATCATAATACTTCAAAGGGCTTGGCAGTAGCAAGACACTGCTGTAAAGAGTACATAACATCACTAAGGATGCTTGATCCTAGGCTGGGCTTGGTGGCTCAATCTATAATTCCAGCACTTTGGGAGGGCGAGGTCAGTGGATTGCCTGAGTCTGTGGGTTTGAAACCCGCCCAGGCAACTTGGTGAGACCTCATCTCTACATAAATAAAAAAATTAGCCGGCCGTAATTCCAGTACTTTGGGAGGCTGAGCTGAGTGGACGGCCTGAGCCCGCGGGTTTGAGACCTGCCTGGGCAACTTGACGAAACCTCATCTCTACACAAATCAAAAATTAGCTGGGCGTGGTAGCGCGCGCCTGCAGTTCCAGATACTTGGAAGGCTGAAGCGGAAGGATCGCCGGAGCCCAGCAGGTTGAGGCTGTGGTGGTCGGGAGCAGCCATTGCAGTCCAGTCTGGGTGACAGAGTGAGACTCCAACTCAAAAAAAAAAAAAAGAGCCGGGCTTAGTGGCTCAGCCTGTAATCCCACACCTTTGGGAGGCTGAGGTGAGTGGATTGCCAGAGCCTGCAGGTTCGAGACACGCCTAGGCAACTTGGCAAGACCTCATCTCTATAATAAATCAAAAATTAGCTGGGTGTGGTAGCGCACGCCTATAGTTCCAGCCACTTGGGAGGCTGAGGCGGAAGGATCACTTGAGCCCAGCAGGTCAAGGCTGTGGTGGCTGTCAGTGTGCCACTGCACTCCAGCCTGGTAGTGACTCCAACTCAAATAAAAAAACAAAAAAAACTGTGGTGCCCTGTATATTCAAGGCTCTGAGAATCGATATATGTTGATATTTTCTATCAACACCCTCAAACAATAAAAACTTTAAAGTTACTTAAGGTTAGGAAGTATGCTGGGCGTGGTGGCTCACACCTATAATCCGAGCACTTTGGGAGGCAGAGGTGAGAAGATTGCCTGAGCCCACAGGTTCCAGACCAACCTGTTAAGACCTCGTCTTTACAATAAATAAAAAAATTAGGCCAGGTGAGGTGGTTCAAGCCTATAATACCAGCACTTTGGGAGGCCAAGGTGACAGGATTGCCCGAGCACATGGGTTTGAGACTAGTCTGGGCAACATGGTGAGACCCTGCCTCTACAATAAATAAAAAAATTAGCCAGGCATGGTAGCACGTACCTGTAGTTTCGACTACTTGGAAGGCTGAGGCAGGATTACATAAGCCCAGAAGATTGAAGCCATGGTGGTCAAGAGCATGCCACTGTACTCCAGCCTGGGAGACAAGAGTGAGACTGACTCAAAAAAAATTAAGCTGGGCTCAGTGGCTCAGCCTGTAATCCCATGCTTTGGGACCTGAGGTGAGTGGATCGATTGCCTGAATCTGCGGGGTTCTACATCCGCCTGCGCAACTTGGTGAGACTTCATCTGTACAATAAATAAAAAAATTAGCCGGGCATGGTAGCGCATGCCTGTAGTTCCAGCAATACTTGAAAGGCTGAGACAGAAGGATCGCCGGAGCCCAGCAGGTCGAAGGCTGCAGTGGCCGGGAGCAGCCACTGCACTCAGTCTGGGTGACAGTGAGACTCCAACTTAAAAAAAAAAAAAAAAAAAGGAAAGGATGTGGCAGAGGTAGCCGTGAACATGCCACTGCACTTCAGTCTGGGCAAAAGAGTGAGATTATGACTCAAAAAAAAAAAAAAAAAAGATTAGGCAGTATTAAACATTTACTAAAGTGAAGATCAGAAATGGGTAAGTGATTTATCAGGAGAAAGAGTTCGAATTTTTTCTAGCCTGGCTCAATTGCTCAGCCTGCAAGGTCATTTATGCCCTTGAGCCTCAGCTTTCTCATTTGGAAAATGGAATTAACAGTACCTATTCTGAGTTGAGAGCTAGAATTAAATAAATTTAAGAATATTGCAGCGGGCTCGGTGGACCAGCCTGTAATCCCACACCTTTGGGAGGCTGAGGTGAGTGGATTGCCTGACCCCGTGGGTTCGAGACCCACCTGGGCAGTGAGACCTCATCTCTACAGTAAATCAAAAAATCAGCCAGGCGTGGTAACGCATGCCTGTAATTCCGGCTAGTCAGAAGGCTGAGGTGGAAGGATCACCGGAGCCCAGCAGGTCAAGGCTGCGGTGGCCATGAGCGGCCACTGCACTCCAGTCTGGGCGACAGAGTGAGACTCCAACTCCAAAAAAAAAAAAGAATATTGCAACCAGGTTTGGTGGCTCAGCCAGTAATCCCAGCATTTTGGGAGGCCAAGGCAAGTGGACTGCCTGAGCCTGCAGGTTCAAGAACCACCCAGGCAACTCGGTGAGACCTCTCTCTACATCAAAAATTAGCCAAGCGTGGTAGCGCGTGTCTGTAGTTCTGCCTACTTGGAAGGCTGAGGCAGAAGGATCGCTGGAGCCCACCAGCTAAAATTACATTTTTTATTTTTTTGTCAGAGTCTCACTCTGTCACCCAGACTGGAGTGCAGTGGCTGCTCCCGGAACTACAGGCGCACGCTACCACGCCCAGCTAATTTTTTTGATTTATTGTAGAGATGAGGTCTCGTCAAGTTGCCCAGGCGGGTCTCGAACCCGCGGGCTCAGGCAATCCACTCACCTCAGCCTCCCAAAGCACAGGATTACAGGCTGAGCCACCGAGCCCGGCTTAAAATTACATATTAAAGCTGAACCTATCTGCACTTTCTAAACCAAAGTAGAGGTTGAAAAGTCAGTTGCTAATCATTTATATTAACTGTTATTCTTTGTTTTGCGTCAGTCTTTCAGAAATGCCAGGAACCTTTATTTACTCCCTAAAATGTTACTTCTAGCAGGCCTTTTCATGTCTTTCTAAGCTTTGATGTTTTAATATTTCTGAGAATAAAGAAAACAGCTCATTTTAAACAAGAAGTTTATTTAAACAACAAGACGCTTGACTTGAAGGGAAAACTATCTAGGATTCTTTTTTTTTTTAGAGTAATTTATCCCTACTTAAAGACAGATTGCCCTACATGTAACAGCTACGTACAAAAAAGTTATAAAATCGTCATTGGTTTTACAATGATAAATGAAAACATTAAAATTCTCCAATTGAACAAGGTATGCAAGGATCTTTTTATGTTGTTGTCTTTTTGTTAAAACAGTGAGAGCAAAATAACTTACTGTAATATAAAGATAAGAGCTGAATGAGCATGCCACTAATGGAGAAAGGGGGTATTTTCACAGAACCAGTATTTGTTCCCATCCCATCTCCACTTGATGTCAATCAAAACATACCATTGGCCATTTAGTTAAAAAAAAAAATTGCAATATGCGTGTGCACATACATCAGTTACTTTATGTACAATAAAGGAATGGGGAAGGGGAAAATGAAAGAATAAAGAAAACTATACTGTAGTAGTCAGGATGTGGTGGAACCAAATTGCAGTTTTCTAATTGAGAATGTAATCTTGGTCTGTAAGAACAGAGTTCTGGAGTAAAGAAGCAGGCTCCCTTTTTAGTAGACACCTCCTGTCTGCTGCTGGAACACATCAATTGTATCTTCATCCTCCATTTCCAACTAGCATAAAAGAGAAAAAACAAACTGAAGAGCACTGATTATCAAGTTCTTAAAGCTATAATTTTCAGATTTAAATATCCTGAAAAGGTGGACACATTCCACTCAGCTCCAGGGTTATTTTATTTTTTTATTTTTAATGTCAGGGTCTCACTTGTTGCCCAGGCTCATGATCATGGCTCACTGCTGCCTTGATCTCCTGGGCTCAGGCAATCTTCCTTCCTCAGTCTCTGGAGTAGCTGGGATTACAGGCATGCAAAACCATGCTGGACTAACTTTCTTCTTTTATGCAGAGATGAGGTGTCACTATGTTGCCCAGGCTGGTCTCCAACTGCCAGGCTCAAGCAATTCTCCCAACACCCAGCCTCCCAAAGTGCTAAGATTACAAGCATGAGCACCTGGCCCAGGCTTCATTATTTTAGATGTCCTATAGCGTAATGTAGGATCAGACTTGCTTTAATTTTTTACTTGGTCTCCTTTATTATTAGTGTCATAGGAAACTTACTTTTTTTTTTTGAGCCAGAGTCTCACTCTGTCACCCAGGTTGGAGTGCAGTGGCACGATTATGGCCACCACAGCCTTGACCTGCTGGGCTCAGACAAACCCTCTGCTTCAGCCTTCCAAGTAGCTGGGACTACAAGTGAACACTATCATAACTGGCTAATTAATTTTTAAAAATTACTGTAGAAATGAGGACTGCCATATCGACCAGGCTGGTCTAGAACTCCTGGGCTCAGACAAGCCTCTTTCCTCAGCCCCCTAAGTGCTGGAATTACAGGTTTAAATTGAGCCCTATCCTCAGCCAGAAAACTTACTTTTTTTTTTGAGTTGGAGTTTCACTCTGCAGGTGTGCACCATCACACCTGGCTAATTTTTTAATTTATTGTAGAGACGCAGTCTCACCTTGCCCAGGGTGGTCTCGAACTCCTGGGCTCAGGCATTCTCTCTCCTCTGCCTCCCAAAATGCTGGGATGACAGGCATAAGACACTGTGCCCGGCAAAACTTACTCTTTTAAGTTAAAAAGTTGAGGCCAGGCACCATGGCTCATGCTTGTAATTCCAGTGCTTTGGAAGGTGGAGGCGAGAAGACTGCCTGAGCCCAGGGGTTCAAGACCCACCTGGGCAACTTGGTGAGACCCCACCTCTACAATAAAAACAAAACAAAACAATTAGCTGGGCGTCATGGTGCATGCTGGTGGTCCCAACTACTTGGATGTCTGAGGCAGAAAGATTGCCTGAGCCCAGCAAGTTGAGGATACGGTGGCATAAGTATGCCCCTGCACTCCAGCATCAGTGACAGACTGAGACTCGACTCAAAAAAAAAAAGGTGAATATGTCCATGAGTGTCCACAGAAGGATGATGTGCTTGAAGGATCTCATTGCTGTTTAATTAGCAAGAGTAAAAAAAAAAAAGAAAAAAGAAAAAATTAGCAAACCCAACAAAATAAAACATGGTACACTCATATATGAAATACCATGTAGCTATTAAATAAGTCATTTTGATGTGTGTAGAAATGAAAGTATCCCTAAGATACACAGTAAGCTAAAAATAAAATTTAAACTTGGAGAGTTGAGGTGGAAGGATCGCCTGAGTACAGCAGGTCAAGGCTGTTGTGGTTATGAGTGTGCCACTTTGCTCCAGCCTAGGCGACAAAGTGAGACACCTACTCAAAAAAATAAAATAAAATAAAAACAAGCAGCCGTAGACAGCAGATATTCTTGCTGCTGTCCTGCCTGTTGTGCCCTTCACAACATATCTTACCTTTAATAAATCCACCTTTAAAAAAAATAAACCTAGTGTATTGGCTCAAGCCTGTAATCCCAGCACCTTGGGAGGCCGAGGTTGAGAGGACTGCCTGGGCCCACAGGTTTGAGAACAGCCTGGGCAACTTGGCAAGACCTCATCTCTACAATAAATCAAAAAATTAGCCAGGTGTGGTGGCATATGCCTGTAGTCCCAGCTACTTGGAAGGCTGAGGTAGAAAGATCGCCTGAGCCCAGCAGGTCAAGGTTGTGAGCATGCCACTGCACTCTTGCCTATGTGACAGAGTGAGACTCCAACTCAAAAAAAAATTTACGAGCCGGGCTCGGTGGCTCAGCCTGTAATTCCGTGCTTTTGGGAGGCTGAGGTGAGTGGATTGCCTGAGCCCGCAGGTTCGAGACCCGACTGGGCAGCGAGACCTCATCTCTACAATAAATTAAAAAATCAGCCGGGCGTGGTAGTGCATGCCTGTAATTCCAGTTATTCGGAGGGCTGAGGTGGAAGGATAGCCGGAGCCCAGCAGGCAAGGCTGCGATGGCTGGGAGCGGCCACTGCACTCCAGTCTGGGTGACCGAGTGAGACTCCAACTCAAAAATAAATAAATAAATAAATAAAAATTTACAATCACTATCCATAAATCATACATAAAATAACCATGTGTAAGGTAAAATTTTGACACAGATGGCAACACTGTAATGTGAATGAGTTTACTAACAGCTTATTATTCTGCTAATTAACTGAAAAATTCTTCCTAAAAACTGGTAATTTTGAAGATAAAACAGCGCCGGGCTCGGTGGCTCAGCCTGTAACCCCGCGCCTTGGGAGGCTGTGGTGAGTGAATTGCCTGAGCCCGCGGATTTGAGACCCACCTGGGCAACTTGGCGAGATCTCATCTCTACAATAAAAATAAAAAATCAGCCAAGCGTGGTAGTGCACGCCTGTAGTTCCTGCTACTTGGAAGGCTGAGGCAGAAGGATCGCCGGACCCCAGCGGGTCGAGGCTGCGGTGGGCAGTCTGGGCAAGACTGGCCACCGGAGTGAGACTCCAACTCAAAAAACAAACAAACAAACAAACAAACAAACAAAAGCGGCAATCTTGGGCATCTAAAGAAAGATGCCAGGTATGCTGCCTAACACCTGTAATTCTACTGTTTTGGAAAGCAAAGGCAGGGAATTTGCTTAAAGCCAGGATCAAGAACAGTGTGAGCAACACAGCGAGACCCTGGTCTCTACAAAAATTTTTAAAATAAACTAGCCAGGCATGGTGGTGCACACCAGCTACTCAGCAGGCTGACGAAGACTGCCTGAGCCCAGGAGTTTAAGTTTGTAGTGAGCCATGATCCTGCCACTGTACTCCAGGCTGAGAGACAAAGCAAGACCCTGTTTTTTTTTTTTAAAAAAAGGGCAACTTTTCTTTTTTTGGGTAGAGACAGGGTCTCACTCTGTTGCCTAGACTATAGTCTTGAACTCCAAGCTTCAAGCAATCATCCTGCCTCAGTCTCCCAAGTACTAGAATTACAGGTATGAACCACTAGGCCTGGCCAAAAAAAATTTTTTTTTTTTTTGAGTTGGAGTTTCACTCTGTCACCCAGACTGAAGTGCAGTGGCCACTTCTGGCCACCGCAGCCTTGACCTACTGGGCTCCGGTGATCCTTCCGCCTCAGCCTTCCAAGTAGATGGAACTATAGGCGTGCACTACCACGCCTGACTAATTTTTGAATTTTATTGTAGAAATGAGGTCTCGCCAAGATGCCCAGGCAGGTCTCAAACTCACGGGCTCACAAAAATTGTTTAAATTTAAAAAAGAAAATAAGCTGGACACAGTGACTCATGCCTATAATCCCAGCACTCTGGGAGGCCGAGATGAGAGGATTGCCTGGGCCCACAGGTTCGAGACCAGCCTGGGCAACTTGGCGAGGCCTTACCTCTACAAAAAAACATTAGCTGGGCATGGTGGCGTGCGTGCCTGTAGTTCCAGCTACTTGGAAGGCTGAGGCGGAAGGATCACCTGAGCCCAGCAGGTCAAGGCTGCAGTGGTCATGAGCATGCCACTAAACTTCAGCCTGGGTGACAGAGTGAGACTCCAACTAAAAAAAAAAAAGAAAGAAAAGAAAAAAGAAAAAAAGAAAACAAATGTTGCTAAGATGTTCTAATCTGTCACACTTCTGTTGCCTAACAAATATTGGGAGAATTCCAATGTCAACCAATTATAAATTTAAGTTAATTCCAAATTCAACGTGAAGATTTCATTATCCTTCAAGGTCACAGCTTGGAACAAATACTCTTCCATGTTTAATATTTTATCTTATTTATTTATTTATTTATTTGAGTTGGAGTCTCACTCTGTCGCCCAGACTGAAATGCAGTGGCTGCTCGGGGCCACCGCAGCCTCGACCTGCTAGGCTCTGGCGATCCTTCCACCTCAGTCTTCCAAGTAGCTGGAACTACAGGTGAGTGCTATTATGTCCAGCTAATTTTTGATTTATTGTAGAGATGAGGTTTCACCAAGTTGCCCAGGCGGGTCTCGAACCCGTGGGCGCAGGCAATCCACTCACCTCAGCCTCCCCAAGCAAGGGATTACTGGCTGAGCCACCAGGCCTGGCTCATGTGTAATATTTTAAACTAGTGCAGCAGACAATCTCCAATTCTGACAGTTGATAACAAGTGCTTAAAGGCAAAAAATACATCCTGACCATTTAACACAGTGAACTTTTTATTCAATATTTCTTTTAAAACCATCAAAACAGGCCTATCAGTCTGTCTTCTAAAATAAAATTAATGGAATGTAAACTTTTATATTGAAACTTCCAGTGACTTCAAGAAGTAAAGACTGGCTGGGTTCGGTGGTTCAGCCTGTAATCCCAACGCTTTGGGAGGCCGAAGTGAGTGGACTGCCTGAGCCCGCAGGTTCAAGCCAGTCCAGGTAGCTTGGCAAGACCTTGTCTCTACAATAAATCAAAATGTAAGCCGGGCTTGGTGGCTCAGCCTGTAATCCCGCGCCTTTGGGAGGCTGAGGTGAGTGGATTGCCTGAGCCCGCGGGTTTGAGACCCGCCTGGGCAGCTAGACCTCATCTCTACAATAAATCAAAAAATAAGCTGGGTGTGGTAGCGCATGCCTATAATTCTGGCCACTGCACTCCAGTCTGGGTGACAGAGTGAGACTCCAACTCCAAAAAAAAAAAAAATCAAAAAGTAGCCGGAGCCAGGCTCGGTGGCTCAGCCTGTAATCCTGCACTTTGGGAGGCTGAGGTGAGTGGATTGCCTGAACCCGCGGGTTCGAGACCCACTTGGGCAAATTGACGAGACCTCATCTCCACAATAAATTAAAAAATCAGCCGGGCATGGTAGTGCGTGCCTGTAATTCCAGCTACTCGGAAGGCTGAGGCGGAAGAATCGCCGGAGCCCAGCAGATTGAGGCTGCAGTGGCCGGGAGCGGCCAGTGCACTCCAGTCTGGCCGACGGAGTGAGACTCCAACTCAAAAAAAAAAAAATTAGCCGGGTGTAGTAACGCGCGCCTGTAGTTCCAGCTACTTGGAAGGGTGAGGCAGAAGTATCACCAGAGCCCAACAGTGGCCAGGAGCTTGTCACTGCACTCCAATCTGGGCAACGAAGTGAGACTCCAACTCAAAAAAAAAAAATAAGTAAAGATCATTTCCTGGCAGGGCACAGTGGCTCGAGCCTGTAATCCAAACACTTTGGGAGCCAGAGGTGAGAGGTGTGCCTGAGCCCATGGGTTTGAGACCAGCCTGGGCAACTTGGTGAGACCTCACCTCTACAATAAATAAATTTTTTAGCCGGGCTCGGTGGCTCAGCCTGTAATCCCGTGCCTTTGGGAAGCTGAGGTGAGTGGATTGCCTGAGCCCGCGGGTTCGAGACCCGCCTGGGCAGCGAGACCTCATCTCTATATTAAATCAAAAAATCAGCCGTGCGTGGTAGCGTGCGCCTGTAATTCCGGCTACTCGGAAGGCTATGGCGGAAGGATCGCCAGAGCCCAGCAGGTTGAGGCTGCGGTGGCCGGGAGCGGCCACTGCACTCCAGTGTGGGCAACAGAGTGAGACTCAACTCAAAAGAAAAGAAAAGAAAAGAAAAGTTTGTCTCTTCAATGTTCTTTTTGTTTTGTTTTGTTTTTTGAGTTGGAGTCTCACTCTGTTGCCCAGGCTGGAGTGCAGTGGCCGCTCCCGGCCACTGCAGCCTCGAC